TTTATTTATGTTTCACTCTCTAAAACTGCCGATAATGGTATTTCACCAAGCTGGGGTCTCGTTAATACCCCACCTGGAGATGTGGACAACTTAACGGGTTACCGGGGTGCTGGCTAGAAGTAAAAATATTAACCGAGGAGTTTCTAGTCAGTAAGAGTGTGACACTCTCTTTCCCCTCAATCAAGGTGAAAGAAGAATTGAAATATTGATTTATTATGATTATTATTATGATTTATCCAAAAAAAGAACCATTTAGTAACAGACTTAGACATTTCAATAAAAATGCATAAAACGTATTGTTTTTCCAGTCTTATGATAACTTAAACAATATGTTAGTAATATTATACATGACAATACAATTTCCGTGAAGGGCGGACGTGTTCTACTGTTTCGTGTAGTCACTTTGCTTTTTACGATAGCGTTAAAATATCACATTGGAAGTGTGTCGTCCGCCCGTGATGTAATTTTACACCTGTCGGTGTCTTTTGACTGGAACACTATATTTCATAGTCACCTCTAAAACTGTCAGTCACTCACTGGATCTACTTACAGACTTCAGTCTTTTGGTCTACGCGTTGATTGCGTCACATTAGAGATCCTATAATTCACAGAGAACATGAATTGCATACTATTATCATCACAAAAGGGTCGATTGTTAAAATTTACAACAAATCCAACTGCTTAGAAATAACAAAATAGCAGTGACCTTTAGATTCATATTGACAAAGAGTTAAGGAAATAATGCTTACGAATAAAAGAGTTTAATCACTGCTATCCATCTTTCTCTCTCCTTCAGTAAATATTTGTATTTAACCAATAGGTAGCTAGATATTCAACGTCATCGTAATAGTATGATGAGTAACATAATATCATACACTAAGTTGTCTAATTAATTTGTAATTACATCTGCATTCTGTCAGCTGCAGATTATACTTAGACAGACGATACACAGAATTAATATCAATATGTCAAGAAACATGAGCTTGCTTGTTTATGTACAACTGGACACCTACAATACAGTCTGCTCCAGGAAATGTACCTACCTAATAAACATTACAAGTTCTGCTTATATTTTTATATTTCATGTTCTAGTTGAAAAAAAATCCAAAATACTCGCACATTCTTCTAATACTTAAACTTCTTGGAAAAATCCTTAATCCCCTTTTTTGTTGAGTATCTTACGTCTTGGTCATTCATTTTTAATTTAGTACACAGGTACTATACTATGTATATTGATTACTGCATTCACCATAACTTAAGGTGTGCAGTATATAGTATATGTACATATATATTTTTGATTTACAAAGCCAAATGTCGCATATAAAGGCCAGCGTTCGAAGGTCGAAGCCTTGTACCACGAGCCTCGTTACAGCTGCTTACAATATATATATAATTATGTACTATCTTTGAAATATTTGTTAAAATATTTATATGACTTGCATATTATACTTGCATATTGTAAGAATCGGTTATGCACTAGTAAAATATAAATTAATGATTTCCGCTAACTGACGAGAAATTAATATAGGTACTTTCTATTTCTGAAAATGGTTTCCATTACACGAATGAAATTAATTAAGAAAAATCATATTATTTCCGTAACTAAATGAGTCTTGTAAAAGGATAATGGCATGGTTGTGAACATTCTTGGTAATTTTTTTACCGAGAAACTCTATTAACAGCTGTTTCAAAAACTTTATGCGAGACTACTTCGCATTTCTCCGAAGTCTTGATCCCTGTAGTGTATGGCAAGCTATTTTAAGTTTTCAAATCCATATTTTAAATTTACTTTTTATTTCCCTTTTCTTTGAACGTTTTATAGTTTAATGTCAAGAAATTACTAAGCAGATCACATAATATAATAATTATTATATTATTATATTACGGGCTCTATCCATTAATTATAATTAATGGATAGAGCCCGTAAATAAAAAAGTCATTGATTTGATTCTTATTTTCTTTATACAAAAAGACACTGAACAAAGTCTGTAGGGCAGCTAGTACAAAATAATAACCTAGAAAGGAAACGAGAAAACAAACATACTACAACATTAAATCATCGTCTGCTACGCCGTAGCCGGTGCTACGTCACCCGCTACGAATCGCTACGAATTGTTTAAGCGGCTAGAAGATACTTTCAACTTGATTTATGTGCTGATGAAAGTACCATGAAACGTGTTATTCATATTGATGTCTACAGCAAACATATTTGTTTAGAAACACTGTTGCGTGTTGAACTCTTTGTGGTCTGTTTGTCATGGAAATATTTTTAAAACCTTTCTCACGTGAATGACATTTTCCTCAAATCTCACGAGAGTTCAACATTATTCGATGTGTGCTAGGTTTTTTCGCCGTTGACATCACAAATATAAGAATTGAAATATTTAGGTAAGTACATATAGAAAATGGATTACTTACATGTAATATTTATAGTTCAATTATGTACTTTAAAAGAGAAACATAATTCTTAGTACCTAGTACGTAGACACGACATACATACAAGTTATGATTTAATGTTAATGATTATTTTATACTTAATATTATATTGAGACTGTCTCGTTAGCCGTTATTCGATTCCCAAAACGGGCAAAGTATTTAAATTGTCAGTAGTAGCACGAAGTCTAGAAATGTGGTATATGACCATAGGGTCACTCCCTATTACATGGGACTCATAACATAAATAGTGAAAATTGGGTTCGGTAGCGTTAAGTGTCGTAATGTACACCGCTGCGTACCCTTTTGGAGATAAAACGCGTGATGTTATGTTATATTGAGGAAAGTAATTGGTATTAATTAAAATTATTAGAGCAGCGTTGTCGTTGGTCACGTAGGTACTCGAATCTAATACTGCCAGGCAGCTTACAACTATCGTCTCACCACACAGTTCATTTGTTACACCCCCACAAAGCACGTCAAAGAACGTACTTCGTCAGCTTCATGTGTACCGTCATTCATCATGACAACGGATCCGTCTATTTACATACCCAGGCGTCACAAGTAACATTACCTACGCAGAAACGTCTCATTGGTCGGGCTATGTGACAGTCCCTCCGATCACAAATATTCAAATGCAATTCTCATATTGCAATCTTGAGTTGATGACTGTAAAAGATGAAAGTTAACAAGCTTTCCCACTACATTTTTAAAAATTCGTAAAGTAACCGAATCAAAAACCTCACGCAATATTGAAAACATCCATGTATTATGCACAGAACACAAGCTCACACTTTGTATACGTTTGCATTGTTGAATAAATCCCAAGCAATCATCGTGCGCTGCATACGATACAAATTCGCTACAGTAATCTAAAGAAGTGCCTGTATATTGCTCCTCACGACTGATTTACGCGACCGACGCGGCGACGACGCCGGCGCACTAAGCAAATCAGCCTTACATCCTATCTCAATTTAGTCTCAACGAGTAGGTGGCACAAACTGTGTGTAGCTCACTGGAGCAAGCTTCCTCTTGCTTTGGATGAATGTCAGTGGAGTATTGAGTATCGATGTTATGTACCTATAGTACTTACCTAAAACAGAAGGTTGGAGCAGTGCGTGCCTATGCATAGTTGCGCGATTACTGCGGCGAAAGCGATATCGATTTGAGACTGAAACTATTTTATATTAGAATAGAACAAAAACTCGTCTGGTGGCTTACTATTATGCTTAACCAGTTGTTTTATACATGACCGAAAGTGCTTCATGAATGTAGTAATACAAACGAAACTCAGCCTTTAGCTGTGCGGCGGAAGCCGAGCTTATTTGGCGTCGGCCCTTGATATTAAATAACTTCGGAAGGATCGCCCCCGCATCGCCCTTGAAGGCAGGGAGCCGCTGAGTGGTTGGGCAAAGCCAAGTGTCACGCCGAGCGGTTTTTTAAGTTGTTTCTATAGAATAGACGCCGTTTTATATTAGCTCTTGAAAAAACATCATCTTCAACAGTATTCTTTGGTATTCAAAAACAATGTATTCATGCGGAAGTATTGTCTTCTGGCAAGAAGCATAAATAAATATTGATACAGATTATGAGTAGGCATTCATAGTCACATAGGCATGTAAAGTTATAATATAATATGTATTAAGCACAAACCAATCCGAGTACGTTATGTAGTCGGTAATCATTAAACTGGCTATTAACAGGGCTTATTGGATTTGTTTGTTTAGTATTATAATGGTGGTATTTATATTGGCATGGATAGCCTGGCGCACACTGAAACTAAAACTTGTATAGGTGTACCCATAACTATAATTTGCAAAAGGATATATTTTGAAAATGTTACGTATACACTGAAAAACTCTCCCATAGGTACCGCATGCATACTTATTGTCGTGTTGTTCAATGTTGCATGTTCAAGTAGATTTAGCCTAGATTGTATGTTTATGTGAGTAGATCACTTACTGTTTACAACTCTATTATTATTCTTGGTGAATCATTTGTCCAAAATTATTTACCTCCATTTGGTATCAATGAAACATAAATATATCCATAAACACATACACCAACTCATTAATACGCAGGTGCTTTATCAAAATTCAATCATCAGCTATCGATCATTCAGAAAATCTGAATTTAAGAGATAAATATTGCGATTATTAACAGCCTCGCTTCTCTGTTGCTTACATTTATATGTATATTTTGTCTTGAGTTACTGAAAATCTTCATCCATCGTATATTTTTCATTAAAGATTGGTTGTTTGAGAAGGAGTAAACCTACTTTAACTTTACTATGACATTGTTAAACTGTACCCAAACATTCCTCTAAATATTGCGTTACCTTCGTACATGCCATTAAAAGTGAATGATGTTTTACGTAATTCATCGACAGCATAAGCAACCTCCTTCATTACTATGTGACCCCGATACCTACTGTGCAGTTACAGAAACTAATGACGCTGCAAATACATTTGAACTTAACTAAATCGAATACAAGTATAACAAAGCACACAAGTACACGGGTTTTACTTTGATGGTCGTGCATTTTCTCAAGTGTTTTTATGTTTTAGCTTAATTTGGAGCTGTCTGATATACTGGCTGAGTACTCCAGAAATGGAGTACCGGACCTGAAAGGGTTCTGCATTGCAAACATCCCTGATGAAGCGTTCGAGTTCCTGCAGTGGGCTGAGAAGCCACAGAACTTGGAGGAGTTCATCGATTGGAAGAGTGAGTACCTTTTGCATTAATAATAAGAATCTTTTTATGTGAGCAAGGAGAGGGAATTGCCGGTGTATCGCGGTTCCCAAATGATACAAACATCTGTCGTCACTCGTTTGCAACGCGCTCGCAGTTCCCGTAAAAGTTGAAAAGTGCTTTAGTGGATCGGTCGTCAGTTTGTCGAGTGCTGGAGTGATTTCGCAGAACGACAAAAATGTTGGTAGTTCAGCTAGATTTTTTTGTTTGTTTTTGTAGTACTACACGCCGATTGATTTGCTGAAACATTCGATTGAGCATTTATAAAACTTACTTTGACGATATTATTCTGAGAATCGAAATTCGATTGGATTTTCACTGGATCCACAGTTTGGAATGATTGTAACTGAATTTAATTTTACGCATAAACTGCGGATTTTTTCTAGGTATGATAAAAATATATTCTGCGCTGGCATAAAAATATCTTATGATCGAAATGTTTCGACTCTAATAGTAGGTAACTAATATAATAAACTTTGCAGATAGAAAACCAAACAACAGCCTTGTCGATTTATTCTTAATGCAAGAATAATTTGATTATGCCTGAAGAACTTAGTTTTAGTACATAATTATACTGTTTACCGTTCCATCTACGAGACGAGCCGCAAATAATTTACTGTGAATAATTTCTGCAATAAAGTACACCCCATCATAAGGTTATGAGGTTTCATAACACGTAACAGATGGTACCTTGACGTCATTAGTCAATAGTTGGGTTCACTCGCAATTACTTGTATGGAATTATAGAAATTACAAGCATACCTACTTGGTTATCAACAAGAATTGCCCTAACAAGTGTTCATTGTGTAGGCACTATGCACAATGTATGTATCGAGTTCATGGTTTGTGGCAAGTGAAAATTACTTTTGTATTTACACACTACTATACTAACAGTATAATGATAAAATTATTTTATACTATAAGTCATGTAGACTAAATAAGTTATAAATAAATATGTGAGTTTGCTTACAAATAGGCAACAATACTTTGTAATTGACTATAACTCTGTACAAGTATCGATAGATCTTGGCGCGAGCGCGCGGCAGAGGGAGGGCCGCGATTAATGGTTTCACTCCGTGACCCACTAACATATGCAATCGTGTACTTTACACTCATTACCCTCCTGATATTCAACATATCTTGTTGTCAAGCAGCTTACTTCCCTTTGCTATTAATATAACTATAGAGGTTAACAGTGTTCGATGGGATCACTTCAAAACTTTAATAACAATATTTTTAATGCTGTCATTGTTTGAATCAAAATAGTAAAAAGTTTCAGTCCAGTTTATCGAGTCAATAGCTAATATGCTGTCACTGAATGAGTAAAAAAATGACGCAGTATTAGTTCAAAGTTAACGAGAGCAGGATACCCAACTCTTCGCTGAAAGTTACATGGCCGAACGTAGGGTGCACTAAGCGAGAACTTACGAAGTTCCGAGTCTTACCTACGTGAAATAAGTTTTCGAATGAGTAGAAAACGATACTTGCTACACAATTTAATCGTCATAATGACTGTAAAATGGGAATTTCTTCCACTTTTGGCCGCGTATTGACAGTATAATGATTATGAGTATGATAATAAGTAGCTTTTCTTTGCACTCGATGATAATTATAATTAAAAACTCATGATAAATATTATAAACAATATCAGCTAGGAATTCAATTTCTTAGTCGAAAAATACAGGTTGAACATTGTCAATATCGTTGGTAAAAGCGCGGGTAAAAGATATAAAAATACCATAAAATATTGCGCTTGTCTGTAGCCACACATTCCAAACGTCTCGAGGTGAAATGAAAGATAGTTATATCGTGATTTTTCGTTCCAATGCCGATTTTATTTGAATTCTAATATTTACGAAGTATAAAAAGTTCGCGTTCCAGTTAGGCTGGCACGTGTAGCCGGAATAGAACGGAGTGAACTAACCCTCAGTAAAACACTGAGTGAGATATTAAATAAATAATGCAATGACAAATATAACGTTTTATAACCCTTTCTCCGAAAAGGTAGGTACTAGGCACAAATATTTTAACACACATTTAGCCTGATGTGTAATAAATGACTTCTTATAGCCTCTTGTTCAGTGTGTATCTCAAATTCGATTTTTGTACTATTACTAGGAATGGAAAGTTATAGACAAAATGCTTAATAACTTGACACTTGCTTAATAACAATTTCAAATTCAAGATTTTATGATTGATAGTCGATCTCATAGGAAATGTTAAGATGAAACCTTAAGATGCAATAATAATGTAGTAAGACATTAATTAAAAAGATACACATGCAGTTCTCATTGATTCCAATCTAACATAGTATAGCTTACACGTAGCTTGATACACGTGTCGTCGCTACAGATGCACAGAGCGCTCCTGATACGCTTACCGCGAACCATCCGATAATTCTTTTTAACTGCAAATAACAGTAGTAATGCTTAATATTTTTAACGAATTATTAACTGTATAAATTATCTCTAAAGAAGGAATTCTCAATACAAGTCGTGGGTAATGACACCAACCCTTTTTCATAATAATAATTATCATAAACTTATTTCAAAAATTCTTATCCCTATGTGAACCTGCCTTTTTCAATTAATCCTCGGTCAAAACCGGTCAACATCCTATCATGGGATTAGTTTTCCCATGATAGGATGTTTTTTGAAAGTTGGGATCCAAAACACCTATTCGTACTTTGCAACATATTACATATTATGTAATATTCATGAATGTTAATACGTTTCCTATGCGATGCGTCTCTTCAAACTTGACGTGGGTAAGCTGATTTGACACTTCGATGCAAATAACTTCGACTTAATAAGAATAATAATATAATAAGAATAATTTTGTTACGGTTGTCGTTATCCCAAATCAAACGTAATTATAATGATTTGATTTGAGTGACTAGCAGGTGTAGGGCTTTAATATCAAAATTGTAGATGGAATGAGCATCTTACAGTGCCCATGTCAAACTTATTAGATAAACGTATTATTGTTACAATTATTAGCATGCATTTTCACATTTTCAAGTGTATAAATAATAAAAACATTGCCGTCAACGGCCCTATCCCAACCCCAAACCACCTTTACTACGACCTCATTTTTTCTAATACTCACAAAGCCTTCGAAAATTATACATTAAAACTTTCCTCGTGAATTGCTTCGTCTAATGGTGAGAAATGTATAATAATTGGTTCGGTATTTTTCATTCAGTATAGTCTCTTAGCATACGTTTTATTTAGGTATGTAGGTTGGTGCAATGTATTAGGCTCGAAACTGCGCTAAGCGGCCGCTCGTGCGGTCGTATAAAAGAGCACCGCGAATTTTTTATAATAAGTTTTAATGATGTTATTTTATACATAGATCCCATTCAGAGCACTGTAACCCTCCTTCGTAGGGATTTTGTCGATGTACCTAATTTTATACAGCATACCTGAGTAAAGTAACCGAAACTGGAAGCTTATTATGCCTTTAATTTATAGATATTGCTGTTAATATTTCGGTTAATTGTAGATACTAAGTTTACTTGATCGATCAAATTAAATTAAAATTAAAACAATAAAGATAGACACAAATAATGGAGACGAAGTTATTTCTAGTGGATTTGTAAATATCTACCCCAAATAAAGCCCTCCCAAAGCAATACCCAGATCTCCGAAGGATAGTTTATTGCACAAGTAAACTGATGACTACAATAACCGCACCTTTAGCGGCTCATTATATTAGTTAAGGTGATTTAAAGACGAACAGCGACGACTAACAAAATTGCGAAAGAAAAATTAAATGAATCATGACTACTTTTGACACACAAAAAGAAATATAACTCCCATTTACTACCGCAAAGGTTTCTGACACGACTTATTTAAATTGCATTTGTAGAAGGCCGCTTCGCTTTGTTGCGGTAATGTGCGAAGGGTCGGCTTAGAGCCGCTGGGCTTGCCCTGCCGCGCGGCGTGCTCGGCGCGGTTACTGCTGTTCACGCTGACAAGCGGGCGCGAGCACGGTCGCGGAATATCAAACATATAACACGACATGCAAGTGTTCGCGTAGGCGCAGTGTAACCTAGCGACTAGTACGTGTGGCTAACGCGCGTTAGTATCATATGCCGCCGCTAGGCGAACTTGCCTAAGCAGTTTGAAGTTATTAGTCACGCAAATGCCTGGCGGTCAACTTGAACACAAGACTGCAACGGCCACCGCGCCCGCACCTGCGCCCTCACCCGCGCGTTCAACGTGAACTTATACATGGCCGCGAAGCGCGCTGACAGTCGACTCAGTAGACGCGACAAATGATGACATTCCTGTTACTATAACAAATAGCCCCCTGTTTCAAAGCATTCGTTTTGTCCTGTTACTTTTGACATTGCTCTTCTTATTCATTTTTAACTATGATCTTGGTCTGTAAGAAACTCGTGATTTCACGTTAATCTTTTCTTGCAAACAAGTTAGTAAAATATGCATGAAACTTGTTTATTTTATACGATGACAAGGGTTCAATGTAGAATTACAAATTACATTCCTATACTTTCATGCGAATGAACAGGTAAATACGGAATACCAATTTAAATAAGTGTCTAGTTCAGTATTTACAAGAAATATTCACATTAAGGGATTCCGATGCGACGCCGACGACGACACTAGAAAAACACGCAGGGCAATATTTTAGTGCCGCGCGGTTGCGTGACTAGAAAATATATACCGATGAGATTTTAGTAATGAATCGTCCACTCCACTTGGTTACATGCGGAACATTCCTTATAATTAGGCACTGTCGACTGCTGGAATACCTTCACCTTTATCTTGTAATTGGAATATATGTATGAATGAATGCTCTGAAAAAGGCATTGAAGGTAATTCCTGTAATAATTTTATCTAATTATTTCGTACAAAAGATTTTGTATCGAATTACGTATAAGTAGGTAGTAGAAAGTGTAATGTTCAGATGGAGGACTATTTGATTACAAGTTAGTACTTATTATTAAA